TGGCCGGCGACGCCCAAACCCTCTACGCCTTCTCTCTGTTTCTCTCGCCCCGCCTCCGCCGCCGGAGCCAAGCGCCAAACTCAAATTCGACCCGGACCTAGCGTCCTCCGGCTGCTGCCGCGGGGCCGGGCCTGCCGGGCTTCTCCGCACGCCGCCGTGGCAGCGAGCCAGCATGAGCCAAGTGCTGTTCCAGCAACCCGTCCCGCTGCAGGTGAAATGCAAGGACTGCGAGGAGAGGTGAGGCCCGCGGCGGCAGTTGAGTTCGGGCGGGCGCGGAAAGATGGCGCCTCCGGCCGGGGAGCGCCGCTGCAGGAGGCCGCGCCGGCCGTGGCGCAGAGAGGCGGGCGGCGGGACTCGGCGTGAGCTTCCCCCGGCCAGCCGGGGCTGAGGGCGCAGAGGGAAGGGCGCGAGGAGCCGGGGGCCGAACGCGACGTGGCGTGTCGTGTCGGGCATCTCGGGCGGGTCGCTGAGGCGCGGGGGACGCCAGTGTCCCCGGAAGGAGGGTCGCTGCTCCGGCAGGGGGTCGCGTCGGGGAGATGGTCGCGGGTGAATGGTCATGTCAGGGTGATGTGTACACTCCCGGGGTGGCGGGGAGAGTAAACTCGGTGGGGGCGTGGAAGAGTACATTCTTGGAGGGCCAGAGAGGAGTACTCTATGGGGGCAGGGAGGTGTGAGCTCGGGGGCGGGGGAGGAGTGGGCTGGGAGGGAGAAGCGCATTCGGGGGAATGGGAATCAGCATTGCCTAGGAAAGCTGCTCCTTCTGCCTCAGCTGAGTTTGAGCTGTAGTGCTTATCCTTATGGGTGTTGAGTGGGTTAGGGTGGGCTTTTCCTGGAAATGGGTGGTCTTAGGGCCGGGTCTCTATTACTCCTCCCTCCTGTCAGGCGGGGGAGTTCCGCCCTTTTGGGGTCACAAGGGACTGTCTGGCAACCTGGTGGGTGGAGATTGTGTCCAACCGCGACACTGATGGTATTACCATGCGCATATAGTAAGGGGGGTAGTGGGTCATGGTCGTCTTAGGTCAGCCCTAGCTGTCGTGCGTGTGCTCCGGGGTCTTGAGCTATTTCCCGCCTAGGTGGGGTCTTGACTACAAGCATCCTGGATAGACGACTGAAGTGCTGCAGGTGTGTCGGAGGAGAGCCTAACAGGTGCAGGCGTGAGGCTGGCTGTAGTTGACCGCTTGCTTGCACGCCTGGTTTTGCACCAGTCTGGCTTGCCTGACCAGCCTGCTCTACCACCAGGGCTCAGTGAGGTTACGTGGGGTCAAGACTGGCGCTTTGGTCTTGGCTTCCACCATTTCCTGAAGAATGTTGGAAGTACATTGAAACTTCAGCTAAAAAAAAAAAAAACTTAGCCGGGCATGATGGCTTGCGCCTGTATCTCAGTACTTTGGAAGATGGAGATGAGAGGATTGCCCGAGCCCAGGGGTTCGAGGCCAGCCTGGGCAATTTGGTGAGACCTCATCTCTACAGTAAATAAAAAAAATTAGCCAGGTGTGATGGTGCCTGTAGTTCTAGCTACTTGGAAGGCTGAGGTGGAAGAATGACCTGAGCCCAGCAGGTTGAGGCAGTGGTGGCCGTGAGCGTGCCACTGCACTCCAGCCTGGGTGACCGTGAGACTCCAACTCAAAAAAAAAAAATCAATGTCATGGTGTACTTTGACTCTTCACGTTAGTTACCAAAAAAAGACATGAAGTTACATTTAGCAGACTAAAAATGAGAAAATCATATACTTTATTAATTCAATAAATATGGCTGGCTGGATGTGGTGGCTCACACCTGTAATCCCAGCACTTTGGAACGCTGAGGTGGGAGAATCGCTTGAGCCCGGAGTTCAAGATCAGTCTGGGCAACATACCGAGACCTCCTCTCTACAAAAAATAAAAAAATTAGTCTAGCATGGTGGTGCATGCTAATAGTCCCAGCTACTTGAGAGGCTGATGCAGAAGGAGCACTGAGCCCAGGAGGTGGAGGCTGTGGTGAACCATGATCCTGCCACTGCACTCCATCCTGGGCAACAGCATGAGACTCCTACTCAATCAGTTAGTCTATTTGTAAAACCATTGCTGGGCACTAGAATATAGTGTCCAGGAAAACAGCCCCTTTTTTGTTTTCCAAACTTTTTTTTTTTTAAGTGTGGGTTATAATTCAGGGTCAGGTATACAAATGATCATTATGCAGTTACCCTTGTTGATGAGGTGTGCCCCTCTTCTGGCAGTTTCCCACTACTGCCAATCCCTTTCTTATAGTATTATGATAATTGTTCAATGTCGGCTTATGAGTGAGAGCATGTGGTACTCACTTTTTTGTTTCTGTGATAGATCACTCAGTATTATAGACTCCAAGTCCATCCAAATTGCTGCGAAGTTCATAATTTTGTCCTTCTTTATGGCTTCAAAACAACCCTTTTCTAAGTGGGGGAGGTAAAGGTCCACCTCCCAGGTAAGTCAGGACTGTGTGGTGACCAAGGAGTGGGTACACGCCGATGTTTGGAGATTTGCCTGGAAGTTGGGGATTTAAGTTTTCTTCTCATTTCCACTATTCTATTGGTGTCTCTTTTTTTCTCTGAACATTGTTTTTCATTTTAAAGCGGATGCAATGACGTGTTTTTTCCCATGATTGTAATGGGGATCAGGTGTGCAAATGTATCTAGCTCAGTGGTGTGGAAATGTCACTCAAGAGATGAAGGCATTGCCCTGTTGAGTTGTCGGTGATGAGAGATGAATACGTACAGAGTAAGGTCAGGCATCAGCAGCAGGCCAGGCAAGGAGGTGGCCCCCACCCCAGCCACTTGCGCGGAGAGCGAAGGATCAACTGGTCACTCTTGTTTGCTGTCCAGCATGTGGACATGAGCCATTAGCCCCGTAGGGTTATTGAATATTTGCAATGGGGCTAATCCAAGTTGATGTGCTTTTAGTGTAAAATGCACAGTGGATTTTGAAGACTCACTGTGAAAAAAAAAATAAGCAATCTAAAATTTTATATTATGTGTTAAGATGGCAATATTTTGGGCATATTAGGTTAAATACAACAGGTAAAATTAATTTTACCTGTTTTAAGAGTTTTAAAAATTATTATTTATATTGATTATTTGTTAAAATGGTAATATTTTGGGTGTATTGGGTTAAATACAATATATTATTAAAATGAATTTTACCTACTTTTAGGAGTTTTATTTTAATTATTACTTTTGAGGTGGGGTCTTTCTCTGTTGCTCAGACTGGAGTACAGGGTCATGTTCACAGCTTACTTCAGCCTTGGCCTCCCGGGCTTATCCTTCTACCTCAGCCTCCTGAGTAGTTGGGACTACAATTGTGTGCCACCATATCCACCTAATTTTTTTATTTCTTATAAAGATGAGATTTCACTATGTTGCCCAGGCTGGTCTCAAATCCTGGGCTCAAACCATCCTCCTGCCTTGGCCTCCCAAAGTGCAGGGATTTATAGGCCAGAGTCACTGTGCCTAGCCAAGGGTTGAATAGTGATGCTAATAGAGATAATCATCCTGTAATAGTGATGCCATAGAGATAAACACAGGGTAGTTTATTTCTATTAGCATCACTATTACAGGATGGTTATAGAAAGTTATAAGGAAGGGAACCATCACTTTGATTTCAGTGTTGTGGGAGTCAGCAAACTAGAACACATGGACCAGATGGCCTAGTCTTTGTTGTTGTTGATAAAGTTTTATTGGAACATAGCCATGCTCATTTCTTTACAAATTGTCTGTGGCTGCTTCTGCACCATAAGGGCAGAAATGAGTGATTGTGACAAAGATGTTATAGCCGGTAGAGCCCGAAATACTTCCTATTTGGCTCTTTACAGAATAATTAGCTGACTGACCCCTGACCTGTAGATGAACTGCCCAAACTCTAGCTGAGCATTCAAGGCCAGTTAACCAAACAAACCCTTTTCAGTTTTGTTTCCTGAACTCCTTTCTTCAAGTTACTAGTTACATGAGAACTCCTGTTTTCTTCACATGTGCCTGATATTCTCTCTGTTCCATACCTTTATTCCTGCTTTCCTCTGCCTCAGATGATTTTTCTTTCAAACCTTCAAGGTGTGTGTTAAATCCCTTCACCACAGGACTTTTCAGAGCTGCCCAAGTTGAAATTAGTTGCCTTTGTTCACTTACTGGGGAGTGTGGTACAGGTGAAAGGTTCTCCCTTGTGCTCTGCAGTTGACTTTGAACTAGTATGTGGCACTGCGCCTCAGGCTCTTCCCTGTAAAAGAGGTTGTATGTACTAGCACGATTATTGCTGCTGAGTAAAATGATGTGTGTGAAGTACTTGCCAAGGTAGTGTAGGTATTCAGTGAGTGCTAATAACCCCTCCCTCCCTGCTCTGGAAGCCCGAAAACACAGCAGAAGCAAAGCTGGGGAAAGGTTATTTAACCCAGTTCCAGTTTAGGATGTGGCCCAGGTTGACTTCTGCTTGTATCCCTAGCACCTGGTACAGTGCCTGCCTCAGAGGAGCTTATATCTGTTTGAGTTGAGAGGGCTTCTGGGTGCTGGGGAAGGCTACAATCTAGGGCTCAATTCTGCTGATGCCTCGTGTGCAAGATACTTCTTTTTTCTTCTTTTTTTTGGTTTTTTTTTTTTTTTTTGAGTTGGAGTCTCACTCCGTCGCCCAGACTGGAGTGCAGTGGCCGCTCTCGGCCACCGCAGCCTCGACCTGCTGGGCTCCGGCGATCCTTCTGCCTCAGCCTTCCGAGACTTCTTATTTTTAAAAAGGTCCTACCCTCCCCTGTAGATAACAAAATCCTTCAGTGCTCAAGTCTCTGATATAAAATGGTATCGTATTTGAATATAACCTACACACATCCTTCTATATACTCTAAATTGTTTCTAGATCACTTACAATATCTAACACAAGGTAAATGCTATGTAAAGAGTTATGTTGTATTAAATTTTTTATTACTGTATTTTTTTTGTGTGTGTGAGAGAGTCTCACTCTGTCACCCAGGCAGGAGTGCAGTGGCCTGCTTATGACCACCCAAGCATTGATCCACTGGGCTCAAATGATCCTTCTGCCTCAGATTTCCAAGTAGCTGGAACTACAGGCACGTACTACCACGCCCAACTAATTTTTTGATCTATTGTAGAGACAAGGTCTCACCAAGTTGCCCAGGCTGGTCTCGAACCCCTGGGCTTAGGCAGTGCTCTTGCCTCGGCTCCCAAAGTGCTGGGATTATAGGCTTGGGCTGCCGTGCCCAGCCTTATTGTTGTATTGTAAAAAAACAAAACAAAAGTCCTACCCAAATCTAACAGGGAGAATGCTGTTAGTTAGATGAATGTGTAGGTTTATGAATTGTTCAGTGTGACATTTACAGATCTGAGAAATAGTATTCATTTATTGATTTGTTTTATATTGCTCTTATGACATCAACCATTATAATGGAAAAAATAAGATTTGTGGTTTCAGATAGTATATCCTCTGAAAGCTCTTTTTTGTTGTTTTTTTAAGTCAGAGTCTCACTCTGTTTCCCAGGCCAGAGTGCAGTGGCATGCACCACAGTCGACCTCCTGGGCTCAGGCTATCCTTCCACCTTAGCCTTCCAAGTAGCTGGAACTAAAGGTGCATGCCACCACGCCCAGCTAATTTCTTAGTTTGTTTGTAGAGACAAGGTCTCCAAGTTGCCCAGGCTGGTCTTGAACCCCTGGGCTCAGGCAGTCCTCTTGCCTCTGCCTCCCAAAGTGCTGGAATTATAAGCATGAGCCACCACTTCTGGCTAAGCTTATAGTTTTATAAAAGATACTTTTTTTTTAATGAGTTGGAGTCTCACTCCATCTTCTAGACTGGAGTGCAGTGGCATGATCACGGCCACCTCCACCTGCTGGGCTCAGGCGATCCTTCCTCCTCAGCCTTCCAAGTAACTGGAACTACAGGTGTGCGCTACCAGGCCTTGCTAATTTTTTGGTTTATCATAAGAGATGAGGTCTCACCAAGTTGCCCAGGCTGTTCTTGAACCCATAGGCTCTGCCAATCCTCTCACCTCGGCCTCCCAAAGTGCTGGTATTACAGGCATAAAAGATACTTTTTAGGGGTGTTTTTAAGTTAAGCATGGGGAACAGGTTTAATATAGGCCTTTCTCTTTTTCTGTCAACATTTAATGCATATAGACATTTGGAATACATGCTGCAGTATCATTAATATGATTGGTAAATTATCATAACACTTTGTTAAATGGATGCTTCTTGAATTTTTGTTATAAATGTATGAAGTACAGCAGGACTTTTGAAACTATAAAGCACCATCAAAAGTTAGATGTCAATTGCAATATCATACCACAATGGCTGTATATATGAGAAAAAACTTTAAAAGATGAAAACCAAATATAATGATATTGTAGAACTAAAAAGGCCTTAACTAGCTTTCTGATTGGATCCACTTATCTTATAAATTAGGCAGTTGAGGGCTTTTGCCCCAAGAGATGATGCCTCACTATGTTGCTTAGGCTAGACTTGAACTCCTGGACTTAAGTGAACCTCCTGCCTCAGTACCAGACTCGAGAAAGCTTAATTCAAATGATAGTGACAACTCGTTGTGTGTGAATGCTTCTGATAGTTGGGCATGTCTTTTCATACAGGAGAGTAAGTGTTAGAGTGAGCATCGAGCTACAATCAGTTTCTAATCCAGTTCACAGAAAGGTTGGTATTTATTTCTTTTTTTGAAAGCTGATATTATGTACATTACAGATGATGGTTATTGTTCTTGAAGCACATGAGACTTGCCCATCTTTCACATTTTGAGCCTTTTTGTGACTGGCAAGTCTAGGGTGGTGGGATCTCCTGAGACCGTGACTGAAGGATAATTACACCGCATTGCTTGAGCTTGCAGGAAGGGCAGGGGGTTGGGGTGACAGTCTCCGGGGGATTGCCCAGTGCACTTAAAAGTGGCTCCAGTATCCAGTGCTCCCTGTGGAGTTGGTGTTCCCTGGTGTACATGTGAGGACAGGATATGGAAGCACTGCAGAAGAGCTTCTGCAGTCATGCTTTGCATTCTGGAGAGGGCAGATCCGCCCCATGTGATCTTCAGAAGGGTCACCATTAGCAGAACTGGGGGTGCAGGGTTAGGGGGCCTGGTGGGAGAAGTAGTTGCTTTGGGTTTTTCCTAGCATCCAGGGGTGAATTTCAAGACCACGTAAATACAAGCTGCTGAGGACCAGGGCGTCTGAGGGAGAACAGATGCTGGATAACTGCTTTCCAGGGTAGGGGTAACAAACATGGTCTGACAGTTAAGTTCACAGACTCATCCTAGACTAAGTGCTCTGTACTTCATTGCTGAGTATCACTTTGGTCACCTTTTAAGTGCACCCCTTGGGAGGCTGTGCACCAATGCCAGTGCCTAGTCCACCTACCCATTAGAGCAGTTTTGGAACTCTTTTTCTGGAATGGCCATCAGAGCTGTTGTCGTGCTACCTTTGTGTCCTGAATGTCATAAAAATGTCTTCTTTTCAGTATTTCCTTTATGTTTGAGTAAAGAAAAAAGTCATTGGGGGTCAGATCAGGTGAGTGTAGGGAGGGTGTTCCAACATAGTTGTTTGTTTACTGGGTAAAAACTCTCTCACAGACAGTGTTGTGTGAGCTGGTGCACTGTCATGATGCAAGAGCTCCTTTGGGATGATTTTTGCACATGGCTTTCTCATGCCAAAATTTTCAGTTAAGATTTTCCTGTTTCTCTATCGATGTTTATTTGGTCTGCTGTCCTTCTTACAGTCAGCTGACGGTTTTGACGCACAATTTGACAAATTTTTCCAATGTTTTCATCTGCTCATTACTGGCTCTCCCGACCTCTCTTCATCAGTGATGCTTTCTTTCCCCTCAGAAAAACATTTAATCCATTTGTACCCTGCTGTCTTCTTCATGTCATGATCCCCATCAGCTTTGACTAACACGTCTCTAATTTCACATCCATTCTTGCCAAGATTAACAAGAAATTTAATGTTTGTCGGTTGCTCTAATTCAAGCTCTGACATTTTTGCAACAGCACACAAAAACATTAACAACAATAATTAATGCCACTCAGCAAGACACCGCCATGTATCAACACGAGCACAACTGTGAGACAGACATACCAAGGTGATGAAACCTCACCGAGTTGTTTGCACAGTGCTGCCATGTAACGTTGTCAGCGCACGGTGGCAAGTTCACGAACTTAATTGCCAGATGGCACATGGTGCTTCTCGTGTGCTAGCCTATGCCTGTAGGAATCTTCATTTGTGAGCTTTGAGTAGCTTAGGTCTTTCTAACCCTAGCAGTACCTCGGTAGCATGAGTAGATCTTATTTCAAACATCTTCTTAACCTCAACGCTTACTTCTTTACCGATCTTATGTCATCTTGTAGCTGAGCCTTGTTTTTCTTGTACCAGTGTTCTCTGAAGTAATTTTGGTAGACTTTTTGTCAGCGTTACTGCTTTGATGATCTGCCACACCATAAATGAACTACCTGGGAAGTGGTCTTTTTGAAGGGCGGCCCTTCATCTGAGACGGAAACAGATTAGTTTCAGATGAGCCTGAAAACGGTGGCCAGTGCCCTTCAGAAGAAGCCTTGGCTGCATGTCACCTGATACTCCTGTCCTCTGGGAGACAAAATTTCCTTATTTTTATATGTGGATGATTGTCCATTTTGCTGATGTATTTGCCACATTTGAAACGCCAGACCAATTAACTTGAGGGAAACTCAAAATATAACTGAACTTTCTTTTAGGATCTAGTTATTCGTCTGACTGATGACACGGATCCGTTTTTTCTGTATAACCTTGTTATATCTGAGGAAGATTTTCAAAGGTAACTTTTTTCCTGATCTTATATTTAATCCAAGAGCAAGTAAGTTTCTAAGTTTTATGACTTTATTGGTTCTGTTCTCTATGGAACACAGACTTATTAGAAGCATTCAGTTATTTTGGAAATATTGTGCTCTTTGTACTGTGATTATTTAGGTTGTTTTTTTACAGATTATTACAGTTCTGCTTAAAGCAGCCAGAAATGTGGAGTGTTAACTAAATTTATTGGCCTTTTTCCTCCTGTTGAATAAGTTCTATAAAAAACAAAGTTCCCTAACTTAGTTCTTGATTATAGGTGTTCAGTTTAAAAGCAGAATCTTCAATTATAAAGATGATAATGAGATTTCTAAGCATTTCTTTTCTGTCTCCTGCATAGCTTAAAAGTCCAGCAAGGCCTTCTGGTGGACTTCTTAGCTTTCCCACAGAAGTTCATAGATCTTCTTCAACAGTGCACTCAAGAGCACGCCAAGGAAATTCCAAGGTGGGCCGCATTAGAGCGCTATATGGTTAAGCTTGTTTCAAGATAGACTCTTTGAAGGACAAGTAATGGCAAAATATTTTCCATGTGTTATAAGCACCCTTCTCTGTTTATTTTTGAGTTAGGGTCTCACTCTTTGACCCAGACTGGAGTACAGTGGCGTATGATCATGGCTCACCGCCATCTCAACCTCCTGAGCACTGGTAGTTTTTCCTCCACAGCCTCCCAAGTAGCTGGTACTACAGGCATATGCCACCACGCCCAGATCATTTTTTAACTTTTTTTTTTTGGTAGAGACTAGGCCTTTCTCTGTTGCTCAGGCTAGTCTTGAACACCTTGGCGCAAGCTGTCCTTCCGCCTCAGCCTCCCAAAGTGCTTAGATTACAGGAATGAGCCACTACGCCTGGTCCCTGTTTATTTTTAAAACTAGAATTAGGGCTATATTAAATCTCAAACTTTAAGGAATCTTCATTAAAATAAAAAATACTTCTTAATTTTCATGTCTTGACCAAGCCACTAAAGTTACCTGAAATATTTAACAGCATTGAGTATTTGTTTTTATAATGATCTTGGAAAAAGGGAAGATTAAGATTTTGTTTATGTGTGGTGCTGATGCTTGATCCTTTCATTGTAAAGTTCACCATCAACCTTTTATTTATTGGTCTCATCAAATGATTGTTTCGAATCAGTTATTTCATTAGAAATGACAGAATTATGCTTTTCTAAGCCTATCATTCTTTCCCTGTTTATTAAGTATAGTTTTTCTATAAAGAAGGACATTGCCTCATCAATTAGTGCTGAGTACTTGAAAATTCATACAGGAAAGGACGGATGCTCAATTCTTACTTTTAAATAGTCTATTTTTAGAGTAAGGAGCTTATGCTCTAGTTACTTGTGTGGTATTCAATGACTTTTTGTTTTTACTTTTTGCTTTCTCTTTCCTTATCTGTCTCGCATTATGAATTCATGGACGTTTATATATTCACTGTGTTTCAATCAGTCTTTTTTCTTGTTTGCCCAATTTATCTTATCTTGAACTATTGAGAGTCCTTTCATACGGGCCCCTGTGATTTCAGTATGCTTCATTTCCTGATCTTTCTAAGTAGAGGAGCTTATGATTCATTGAGACAGTTTCACTATCTCCTAGCTGTGTTATAATGTTACATTTTCTTTTCAAAGGTTTTTGCTACAGTTAGTTTGTCCAGCAACAATTTTGGATAACTCACCTGCATTTTTAAATGTGGTAGAAACAAATCCCTTTAAGCATCTTACACACCTCTCACTAAAACTTTTACCTGGAAATGATGTGGAAATAAAGAAATTTCTAGCAGGCTGCCTGAAATGTAGCAAGGTACGATTTAAACTTAAGTTATTGTTTTAAAATAAGTACCAAAGGTCTTTGATACATCACTGAAGAGCTATATTACCACTTTTGTTTTCTAAATAAAATTTTATAACATGTAATGAACTTATGTTATTGTTTTCCATTTAGTCAAGGGATAACAGGGATAGAACTGAGTCAAGAATTGAGAAATGTAGGTCCCAGGGTTTTTACTAATTTTCTGTGGCTTTGAGCAGTTCACTTAACTCTTCTGTTTGTGGTGTCATCACCTGGTAGATGAATATGGAAATATCTTTATCTAGCACATCTTTTTTTTTTTTTTTTTTTTTTGAGTTGGAGTCTCACTCCGTCGCCCAGACTGGAGTGCAGTGGCTGCTCCCAGCCACCGCAGCCTCGACCTGCTGGGCTCCGGTGATCCTTCCACCTCAGCTTTCCAAGTAGCTGGAACTACAGACGTGCGCTACCACACCTGGCTGATTTTTCGATTTATTGTAGAGATGAGGTCTCACCAAGTTGCCCAGGCGGGTCACAACCCTGCAGGCTCAGGCAGTCCACTCACCTTGGCCTCCCTAAGCGGTGAGATTACAGGCTGAGCCACCAAGCCCGGTGAGCCCATCTTAAATGAGTTAAAATATATGAAAGTGTCTTTAACATCACAAAATGCTGTATAAGGTGTATGGCACCAGGAAACAGCAGAGATGCTGCTGCAGAGATTTTAGAAAGTCTTTGGTCTAATACTATGGATCAGCGCACCTCGTTTTTTTTTTTTTTTCCGAGTTGGAGTCTCACTCTGTGGCCCAGACTGGAGTGCAGTGGCCGCTTCTGGCCACCGCATCCTCTACCTGCTGGGCTCCGGTGATCCTTCCGCCTCAGCCTTCCAAGTAGCTGGAACTACAGGCGCCCGCTACCACGCCCAGCTAATTTTTGATTTATTGTAGAGATGAGGTCTCGCCAAGTTGCCCAGGTGGGTCTCGAACCCGCGGGCTCAGGCAATTCACTCACCTCGGCCTCCCAAAGCGCGGGATTACAGGTTGAGCTACCGAACCCGATCAGTGCATCTCAAATTTCATTATTATTTCTTAATAGTAATTTACAGACATGGCATTTGAGTATGTCCACAGCACAGATGTACATCTCACACTTTAATGATACACAGATTATCTGAGACTCTCATAACAATGCAAATTCTGATTCGGAAGTTCTGAGATCCTGCCTTTCTAACAGACTTCCAGTGTGATGTTGATGCTGTGCTTAGCTACACTATACTTTGTAATTTGAATAGCATGGCTACAGATTGTTAAATTAAATTGTAAACTGCTCAGTTTTATTATTTTTATAAATAGGAAGAAAAATTAGCATTGATGCAATCACTAGATGATGTTACTAGGCAACTGAACTTCACACAAAAGGTAATTATATTTCATTTTGTCTTTGTAAGTTGACTCTGAATTGCTTCTGGATTCATGTCCAAGTGTTTGTGTCTTCTTCCAAAGCATGCTACCATTGAGTTTCCTCTCTTTTTTCCACTCTTCACCTACCAGTTAATTATTATAACCTGATGCTTTCTCTTTTCAATATTTTATTCCACCAGACATTTCTGTTATCCCTGGTACACATTCCCTCCAAGTCTTCGCTAGATAAGATAATGTGTAGTGTCTTTCACATACATATTAGCCCTCTGTTCCCCTTCTGTTCACCTCGTTCCTCTGGTCTAAAATGGCTTTTCAGTTGTTTCCTGAACTTTCCCTTCCTTCTGTTACTTTTAGAGTTAATTCCTTTGATAGGCTGAGCATTAGTTCAGTCATAGCTACCACATTTCCACCCCTAGTTCTTGAAATAGAAGGCAGTATCTGATAACCTGCGTGGCTTCAGACACACAAAAAAACCCCTGTATAACATGGCCCTTTTGGGGAATGTGTTACTGGGTTTTATGTATAATAAGTCAACTACTCCTTATAACTGACTTGTTCCATCTTGGGTTGCTTTACTTCTCTTAATCCAAAGCAGGAGGGATTGGGTGGTAAAGACCAAGTTTTAACTAAAAGCTTAAAGATTGTTCATCTGACCTATGGGCCATTTCGGCTCTAAGATTACTTTTATTCTAGTCTTGATTTCCTTAAATTCAAAAAATTCTGTACAGGAAAGACTTTGAGTATATCCTAAAAAGCTGTAATTTCAATTTCTTTAACGTTCTTATAAATGTTGCCATGTTCTAATCAGAAGTGTACCATATTCAGAAGACTATCTCAATAATTTTATATTAAACTCTAATATAGACATTATCAGAAAAAACCCAAGAATTAGACAAGTTACGGAATGAATGGGTGTCACACACAGCAGCGTTGACAAATAAGCATTCTCAGGAACTGACGAGTGAGAAGGAGAAAGCCTTGCAGGTAAGAACAGGAAATCTGAAAAAATATTATTTATTGTTGTTGGTCATTTTATTAATTATAAAAGTAATATGTGCTTGCATTATAATTTTCAAGCGTTAAAGAAATATATGAAGTAAAAATTAAAAGTCTCTTTCAAAGTCTAATTATCAAGAGATATTCTATAAACAATTTGATATGTTTCAGTCTTTTCTCTATGTATATGTAAATAGTATGCTGTTTATACATATTTGTTTATAGACTTGTATCTGTAAATTATATAATTTAATTTTTATATGTACACATAGTGGGGTTTTGGTTTGTTTGATACTAATGGGGTCTTATTGGATATATTGATTGCAACTGTCTTTCTTTTCATTTTTTTTTTTTTTTCCTTTTTTTTGAGTTTTTTTTCACTCTGTCGCTCAGGCTGGAGTGCATGCTTATGGCACCCCACCATCATCTGCTGGACTCTGGCGATCTTTCCGCCACAGCCTTCCAAGTAGCCGGAACTATAGGCATGTGCTACCATGCCTAGCTACTTTTTTGATTTATTGTAGAGATGAGGTCTCGCCAAGTTGCCCAGGCTGGTCTCGAATCTGTGGGCTCAGGCGACCCATTCGCCTCAGCCTCTCAAAGTACTGAGATTATAGGGTGAGCCACCGAGCCTAGCCTGTAACTTCTTTTTCATTTAACGTAATGTCACTTTGTATCAGTTTAGATATTCCTTTTAAGTGCCTGCCTAGTGTTCATTGTTTGGTTGTAACTTAAATTACTTAACTGTTTATTAAAATGGTAGACATAGGCGCCATTCCAGCCTGGGCAACATAGTGAGACCCCGACACACACACACATACACCATTTTTTTTTTGAAAGATAGTTAAGATCTGATAGTGTTTGTTAACAGAAATTACTGAGATAGGTTTGTAATATTATTCAGACAGGCACTAAAGATTGTGCAGTCTGTAATCCCGCGCCTTTGGGAGACTGAGGTGAGTGGATTGCCTGAGCCCGTGGGTTCGAGACCCGCCTGGGCAACTTGACGAGACCTCATCCCTACAATAAATCAAAAATTAGCCGGGTGTGGTAGCGCGCGCCTGTAGTCCTGGCTACTTGGAAGGCTGAGGTGGAAGGATCGCCAAAACCCAGCAGGTCAAGGCTGCAGTGGCCGGGAGCAGCCACTGCACTCTAGTCTGGGCCACAGAGTGAGATTCCAACTCAAAAAAAAAAAAAGAAAAGAAACGATTGTGCAGTCATTGCCATGTTGAAATTTTATTGGTAAACTCCTAAATAAAAGATTGGACTAGTGAACAGAGCTAATGGATTTTACAGTTTTAGGATTTTTTTCCATCATAAAACATATATGTATATATACATGTATAGTGACTGAAAAACACTGAAACACTTTCATTGTGTTTAAAGCAAAACTGGAAAGTTCTTATAGACTCTTTTTTTATACAAGTAGGTTCATATAATATATACTGTTTTCAGTTTGCTTTCTGCACTTATTAGTCATGTATCATTCTTTCCTTGACTTGGAGATCATAGACATGAGTTTAGGAGAAGCAGAAATTATAAATAAGATTGTGGTGGCGAATCTGCCTTTGTTGACACTCCTTTCTCCTTCATGAAATTTACAATGGACAGTGGAGAGATTTTTCCTTTTCAAAACAAAGAGGTCTAATAATTTTAAGGAAGAGATTGGAGTTGTTTTTTTCCCCAAATCTTTCTGTATTTGTATTTCTGGTTTTTAGCCTTTGATTTTGGTACTGTATTTTTATTTTGTAATAGGCACAGGTACAATATCAACAACAGCATGAACAGCAGAATAAAGATTTAGAAATCCTCCATCAACAAAACATCCACCAGCTACAAAACAGACTGTCTGAGTTGGAAACTGCTAATAAAGACCTGACGGAAAGAAAATATAAAGGAGATGCCACTGTCAGAGAGCTGAAGACCAAGCTCTCGGGTGTGGAGGAGGTACTGAATGTTGCCCCCCATGTCGAGAGGGCATTTATCTGGTCACTTTGTTTTCATTTGGTCACTTTATTACCTGTGGGTGGGGTTCCCGTGGATGCTTAGCAGTTCCCTTGCAGTGTTGGGCTCATCAGTTTAGACAATGTAGAGAAAATGGAGATTTGAAATTGGGGCAAAAGCCTCATGGAGAGCATGGCTGAGGGCATCCTGGATGGTTTTAGGTGAGCCTAGAGAAACTTGCTCTCAGGCTTGTCACTGTGTTGTTCTTATCAGCGTAGCACGTGTGTCTCCTGGGGTACTTGGTGTTAACAGGGCTGGTTCTCTTTTTCAGCCTACTTAGAATATCAGATAGTTACATGAAGTTTAGTGTCCAGTAATAATAATGATAATAGTAATAGTAAAGATGATAGCTAATGCTTACTAACATTTGCTCTGTGAGAAGCACTGTTTTAGTGCTTTGCATCTAGTGACTCATTTAATTGTTATAACAGTTTTTTGAGTTGGGTACTGTTGTTAGCCCCATTTGACAGATGATAAAACTAAGGTACAGAGAACCTGTCCATCTGTTATCCTATCTTTATCCTTACCTTGTTCTTTCAGGCAGCAGAGAAATGTCACATTTGTGGGAGCTTTGGCACTGATGATAAGATGCCTTTGTGACATTTTCATACATGATTTTATGGATCAAGACATACATGTAATTTTTTTAAGTCTGTCACACTACATATGAGGATCACCAGTGTGACTACAGTTCACAAGGCTTCTGGCTCCATTTTGTCATCTGTGGTGCTTGGAGGCTGGGTTCATGTTTAGACCCTGACAGTGTTCTGCTCTAACAACAGAGAGCTGCTGTGTTTCCTCCCAGTGCCTTTCACCTTTACACTGGCTAGTAAAGCATCTCAACCCACATGGGACTGTGGGGGTCTCAACACTTCATTCCAGCCCTTTGCACTTGGAGACATCTTACAGGTCACCTACCAGCTGCTCAACTGCACTTTTTACAAAACGGTGAAAAACAAATCACTTTATATTACATAGTAGAGTGTAGGAGCTGATTATTTTATTATAATGTTATTTGACTTATAATGGAATTTTGGGCATTGAGGAACTTAGTTATGACAAAAAATGAACATTTTATAGCTTATAGTTTTCTATCATGTGATGTGTGAAATAGTCACCCTCATGCATTGTGGGTTCATGGATACGTGTTGTGCAATAGTAATTTGACGTCTTCTACCTGGTGTTTTTCTGTTCGAACAGACATTGCGTGTTGTTAATAATATGCACTTTATTGTCCAGTCTGTGTACCACTGTGAAAGCACTTCACACATTCTACATAATACCAGCTGATACTTTTTAACATAGTCTCAGTATATATTCCATCTCTTTGTTGGTTTTTTTTTTGTGTGTGTGTAGTTTGAATGAGAAACTTCAAGGAAACATACATTTTTGAAAAATCTGCACTGCATAAGTTTGTTTTATATAATCACCAGCAATCTCTTTATGTCCCTCGAGAGGGGATAAAGTGGTTTGTTAGATTTCCTATGTCCCCTCAGAGGGTACATCTGAGTGCAAAGGGTTACTGCTGTGTGATGTGTTCAGTCTTAGCCAAACTGACCTGTGTGTCCCTAGATTTTGTTGTGTTGATGTTGATGCATCTAATCAAAACCTTTCTTCCAAGATTTGCATTAGACTTGTAAATTATGAGTGAGTTCTGGGAATTTTTTTTTTTAAACATGTAACTGTGTTCAGTCATTTTAGGCATTAGTGCCCGAAAAATAACGATTGCTACCCTTTTATCAAGTTTTTAGGCATTAGTGCCCGAAAAATAACGATTGCTACCCTTTATCAGGTTTTTACTATGTGCCAGCCAATATGCTAGGCAGTTTATGTAAGGTTTTCGTGAAGATTAAATGAAATAATTCATTAGGTATTTGTTATTATTTCTATCCTACCAATAAGGGAACTAGGATTAAGGAATGTTAGATCTGTGCATTAGACCAAAAGCCAGAGTTTAGATTTTGTTTGATATCAAAGTCTGTGCTTTTAAAGCTACTGTGGTATAGTACTATAAAACTATTTTTTAAACTTTTTGTTAAAAAATTATTTTTAAAAATTTTTGTTAAAAATTTTTTAAAAAACTATCTAGGAAACTGTATTACTGAACTTTTGTGTACCAGCAACATTTGAGTTGGTATCAGCTGATTGGGAAGAGATCTGTTCTAGTTTGGTTTTTTTAAAAAAATCTGTTATTAATTAATTATTGCTTGTTTTTGCTTTAACGAGTGAACCAAAAGGAAATCCAGAAATGTTAACATATTTGTGAACATGGAAAGATATTTCCAATATAGTATGTGAAGAAAGATTATAAACTACTGCACAGTATGAGCCTTTAAAAAAAATCTGAGGCCTGACAGACACAGTGACCCATGCCTTTGGGAGGACAAGGTGGGAGGATTGCTTGAGCCCAGGAGTTTAAGACCAGCCTAGGCAACATAGCAACACCTTGTCTCTATAAAAAAATTTAAAATTTAGCTGGGCATAGTGGTGCATGTCTGTAGTCCCTGCTACTCTGAGGCTGGGGTGGGAGAATCACTTGTGTCCAGGGGTTCAAGACCAGCTTGGTCAACATAGTCCTCATCGTTACAGAAAAAATTAAAAAATTAGCCAGGTGTGGTGGCATGCGCCTGTAGTCCCAGCTACTCAGGAGGCTGAGGTAGAAAGATCGCCTGAGCCCAGGAGGTTGAGGATGTGGTGAGCCATGATCATGCCACTGCACTCCCAGCTGGGCAACAGAGTGAGACCCTGAGGCAAAAATAAATAACTAAATAAACATTTAAAAATTTAAAAAAAGCCGGCCTCAGTGGCTCAGCCTGTAATCCCGCGCCTTTGGGAGGCTGAGGTGGGTGGATTGCCTGAGTCTGCGGGTTCGAGACCCACCTGGGCAACTTGGCGAGACCTCATCTCTAAAAATAAATTAAAAAATCAGCTGGGCGTGGTAGTGCGCGCCTGTAATCCCGGCTACTGGGAAGGCTGAGGCGGAAGGATCACCAGATCCCCAGCAGGTCGAGGCTGTGGTGGCCGGGAGCGGCCACTGCACTCCAGTCTGGGCAACAGAGTGAGACTCCAACTCAAAAAAAATAAAAATTAAAATTAAGACCGGGCTCGGTGGCTCAGCCTGTAATCCCAGCACTTTGGGAGGCCGAGGTGAGTGGATTGCCTGAGCCCGTAGGTTCGAGACCCACCCCTGGGCAACTTGACGAGACCTCATCTCTATGATAAATCAAAAAATTAGCCGGGTGTGGTAGCGCACACCTGTAGTTCCAGCTACTTGGAAGGCTGAGGTGGAAGGATCGCCGGAGCCCAGCAGGTCGAGGCTGCGGTGGCTGGAAGCGGCCACTGCACTCCAGTCTGGGTGACAGAGTGAGACTCCAACTCAAAAAAAAAAAAAAAGAATCTGTCCAGGCAGCTTCCTTTTTTCATAGGCATCATCGTTTTCCCCAGGAGCTGCAGCGGACCAAGCAAGAAGTCCTTTCACTGCGAAGAGAGAACTCTGCACTAGATGCTGAGTGCCACGAGAAAGAAAAGCACATTAATCAGCTGCAGACAAAGGTGGCCGTTTTAGAACAGGAAATCAAGGATAAGGACCAGCTTGTTTTAAGAACAAAAGAGGCTTTTGATACAATCCAGGAACAGAAGGTCTGCTTGCAAATTTTTCTGAACAAATTGATGATCATAGTTACAAGTGATGCTTTTCCTAAATAAACACAAATGCTCTAATTATTCATGTTTTTTAAAAAAACACATCAGGTGGCTTTAGAAGAAAACGGTGAGAAAAACCAAGTGCAACTCGGAAAACTTGAAGCTACAATAAAATCATTGTCAGCAGAACTTCTGAAGGTTTGTTTTAAAAGTTTAATAAATATCAATATTTCATTAGATTATGCCGAGATCTGCATATAAAGTTCTTTCACAGGCAAATGAAATCATCAAGAAGTTGCAAGGGGATCTGAAAATGCTCCTGGGTAAACTGAAGCTGAAGAACACAGTCACCATTCAGCAGGAAAAGCTCCTGGCTGAGAAGGAGGAGAAATTGCAGAAGGGACAGAAGGAGCTGCAGGATGTTGGCCAGGCCCTTCATGTCAAGGAGCAGGAGGTGGGCAAGGGTGTGCTGTGGCGGTGTCCTCAGGGTGCTGGCCAGGTTCTTTGCGGCAAGAGGCAGGAGGTGGGCAGGTGTGCGTATGTACTTGCATGCGTTGTGACTGTCCTCAGGGTGCTGGCCAGGCCCTTCATGTCAGAAAGCAGGAGGTGGATGGGTGTGTGTGCGTGTGCTATGACTGTGTCCTCATATATAGTTCTTACATTTCTACTTTGTTATCGTGGGAAATGGCTTTGTTCTTTACAAAAGAACACAGCTAGACTCACCAGAAGTTAACAACCAGTTTCAGTGGCCAGGTTAGTTCCTATTACTCAGATATCAGATACCTTGACGACTCCTGTGTGTGCGCTCGCCAGGAATATTATGTTAGAGTTGAGGTAATTTCTTATTCTCATTTAATAGTGATCATGTATTTAATTGTTTAATTAATAGTAATACCTTTCTTTGGTTTTTATTTTAAACTTTATTTTGCTTGACTTATTGTGAGGATTGACATATTTCAGGTATGCAAATTACAAGAGCAGTTAGAAGCTACAGTTCAGAAACTTGAAGAAAGCAAACAGCTTCTAAAAAATAATGAAAAGTGTAAGTCTGTTACATTTTATGTACATGAGATTTGTGCAGTAATTCTTTATCTGAAAATTTTATTTGCATTTATAAAAGTGTAGGTAAATCAAGATATTGCTATATCTATATGTGGATAATTTCTGATTTAAATATACTGTCTTAATGTCTTTGCTGTAGTAAATTATATCATGTGCCTAGTAAAATAGTTACTGTCATTATAAAGAAAACCATATACTGCATGTCAGTAGCCTCAAATTAAAAGTGTTGAAAATGTTAACTATAATTTACTGGTTAAATTCTTCACCAACCATTGCTTTACTAGACTCTGGGGTTGCCATGTGCTCCTTGAGCTATGGCTACTACCATGTTTTCTAAGCTTTGGCTCCCCCCTCCCCTACTTTGGGGAGGTGAATGTCCTCTTTCTTTCTCTCTCTCTAATTTGCTTTTTAAATAAACTTTATTTTTAAAAAAATTCTTCACCACTCCTTTTTTTAAAAATTGCTATGGTTACCTAATAGTAACAGTATGAATTGTTTGAAGCCAAAGTATAAGATGAAGCTTTTTTTCCCCCCGCCTGACCTGCCCCCCTCCAGCTGCCGCCCCAGCCCCAAGATGAAACTTTTAACTAACATTTTCTCAGTTTCTACTACTGGATATCCGACATAAGATTGTGATAGAAGCAAAGGCTTTCACAACGGTGCGTGACTAGCAGAAGTGTGTGCTTCTGAGAGGAAAAGAATAGAGCATCCTGTGTAGCAGTTGCTAAGATAAGAATCTTTAAAGTCAAAAATTTAAGTGAACCTGTATTATTCTCCTACAACATAAGGGAGTTCAAAAAGTTTATTTTAAAAATCTTAATATAATTTTTGAGTGTTTGAAATGATTAGAATAATAAAACAGTTAAATAAAAGCATGTATCTTATTGTTCCCTTCTTTAAGTAATCACATGGTTAAATAAAGAGCTCAATGAAAATCAGGTCATGAGGAAGCAGGATGCGTTGGTGCCTTCCATGACTCCACCTGCACATGCCAGCAGCACCGCGGTCAGAAGTGGGATTTCTCCTAACATGAACATGGTAAGATTTAAAGTCAGGTGTGAGTGGTCCTGGAAAATTTTTTGAAACGGAAGTAATTCCAGATTGTAGGATGTCCCTATGACTTAAGATGCTAGTATCAGCCCAGGCTGGAGTTCTACAGTTACTAGCACTGAAGCAGAGTTTAAGTAGCCCTTGAAAGTGGGACAAAGGCTGTGTTTCAAGGGCACATTTCTTTGTCTTTACTGGGTGTAGAAATCATTCAGTACTAACTAAAGTAATGCCAAACTTACCGAAAAAGCATTAGAATACACACATGTACACACACACAAAATACTGAGGAGACTTGAGGAGATGATTGAGGGTTTGGGCTCAGGTGTGGAACTACAGTGGAGAAAGCCTCAAACGAATTCTGTCAGAAGAAAAGTCCTGTTAGTGGGCTTGTCGGTCCAGATTCTGAAAGACACTGTATATGAGACAGAGGCTTCCTAGCTCCCAGGACCAAGTCTTCTACTTTTTACTGCCAAGAAAAAATGGCAAATAAGAATAGATCTCCTTATATTCTGGTAGTACCAGGGTCTAGGCCCAGGAACTTGCCTACAAATGGGCCTTGGAAATGACAGTTTCACAGATTGTCAACATCAGACAAGGTCACTCTGTGACCATGATGGCTTAGGTCAAAACCAAGACCATTCCCCAATCATGAGAACACAGACAAAAAGAAGAACATTGCTAAACCACTCCATTGACCCAGCATCCTCTTATCCTGGTGGCATGAGTGGCTGCTGCTGCTTTACCAGTCATGGCTTTGGCCTCAGTCCATCCCTCCTGCCTTACTGGACAGGATTTATTCAGATACCCAGCTGTACATTTATCCCTGCTTCCTGACAGCACCCATCACAGCAACACCCACTTTCTTATGCGTCCCCTCAAGTCACCTGACGTACCTAAACCCCGGAGGCACATCTCCTGAGCTCCCACCTACCAAGGTACCTGTAGTTTTCATAGCACGCAGTTTCCCTTGTTGGAAGTAGCAGTAAACCTGCTGGCACCACTGTGGGTGTGTTCCTCATAGGCTTTGGCTGGAGGGCGCTGGCGGGTATAAAATTCAAGCACCTGTTGAATGTTTCATCTACTCTGGAAGTCACACAGACTGGGTGTCTAAAGAGGGGAAGGATTGCTGCTAAATTGGACAGAGGTGCAGGGAGAGAGCCTGGGCTGACTGGGAGGGCTTGACTGCCAAGACTTGCTTGGCTGATGGTAAACAGCTATGCAGGGCATTTGTGTCTTGAAGCCACTGGTGCACACAGATGCTTCTCAGGGCCTGGGTCTCAATGGCCTCTTTGTACATAGATAAACTTTGTTTTCATAACATTGTTTAATGGTGGTGGCAGTATTGTGAAAACTAGTAGCAAATCAATTTTTGTCTCAGTCCATTTAAAAACAATGGCCTTCAGAAATGCAAATCAAAACCACGTTGAGATACCACCTAACCCCAGTAAGAGTGACCATCATTAATAAAACAAACAACTACAGATGCTGGCGAGGATGCGAAGGAAAAGAAACGCTTCTACACTGTTGGTAGAAGTGCAAACTAGTACAACCTCTTTGGAAGACAGTGTGGTGATTTCTGAAAGAACTATTTAATTGATCTTCCATATGACCCAGCAAACCCCCTACTGGGAATATACTCAGAGGAACTGAAATCATTCTACCAAAAAGATACCTGCACACGTATGTTTGTCACAGATCTATTCACAATAGTAAAAACATGGAACCAACATGGAACTATGCTGCCCATCGAAACTGGACTGGATTAAAAAAATGTGGTGTTATGATAAATAAAATTGGCCTCTGAGATAGTGCTCTTAGCTATTAGTTACTATAACAGATGTCAACGTCTCCTGATCAACACATACTATTTAGAATTAATGTCTCATCCTTAATGATCTTTGTTTTTGTTTTTAGGTTGATGGTAGGCTGACTTACCCAACTTGTGGGATTGGTTATCCTGTCTCTTCTGCATTTGCATTCCAGAATACCTTCCCTCATTTGATAACTGCCAAAAATACTGTCCACTCTGTTTCAGGACCAAAGGTAGCCAAATTAACTAAAGCTTTTTTTGGGAAATTATAAAAGTTTATGTATTCTTTGGTAGAAGTGAGGACTTTGAAACTGGTGTTATAAACTCTATCAAAGCGATCTGGACTGGCCTAAAGAAATTGGCTGTGTTGCGTAGCCATGTGCTTAGCATAGCCTGTCCCCAGAGCTACAGAGAGTTCTCTGTGAGAGGAGACTTCAGCCTGGGCTTATGTGTAGCCAGTGACAAGCGCTTGGATACATTTAGTAGCTCTTCTTGTGACGCTTACTAAGGAGAGTTAGACATGTGCATTGAAAAGAATGCTGCTGTTTTTTGGTCAGTGCCATATCCTTAGTGTGATGGCATCTTGGGACCATTTTTTCCTTGAGAATTATGATTTAATTTATGGTTTTTTTTTTACTTTAAGCAACTTTCCAGGACTATATTTAATGCCCAATGTGAGGACAGGAACTACTATAGACTATTGCCTGCTTGATAGGACTAAATGCAATTTATAAAATAATGAGATGATCTTCTGTAAAATCTTGTGGCGTCAGGAATCATGACTGCAGGATGCTCTTGAACCCAGGAGCAAGGCTCTCGGTGCTTCTTCTGTCACTGACCTTTGTACTCTTGATTATGTAACCCCAACAAAGAAGCACAGATAAATAAAATATATTGCATTTTCATCCCTAATGCATGAATATTTATTTGTGAATTTATGTGCATACTGCTAAAATGCTGCACATACTAGAATTTAGTGGTCAGGAACATGGGATTTGATGTCAGGGTTTTTTTTGAGACAGTGTCTTGCTTTGTTGCCCTGACTGGAGTATGTAGCTGGTAATGGCTCACTGCAGCCTTGATCTGGACTCAAGCAGTCCTCCTGCCTCAGCCTCCCTTGTATTTGGGATTATAGGCATGGGCCACCAAGTCCAATTACGTTTTTTGTGTTGTCTTTTTTTTTGGTATAAAGAAGGTCTTACCCAGGCTGGTCTTGAATCCCTTGCCTCCTGCCATCCTCCCACCATGGTTTCCCAGAATGCTGGAATTATAGGTGTCCGGCCTTGATGTTAGGATTTAAACCCTGCCTCTGTCAGTTAAAGTTGGGCAAGCCTCTTAAAACCAAGTCACATCCAGCTCTTTGGCTTCCGTTTACCCACTTGTAGAAATGGAGTGATGGGCTTGGCTCGGTGACTCAGCCTGTAATTTCAGCCCTTTGGAAGCCGAGGTGAGTGGATTGCCTGAGCCTGTGGGTTCGAGACCAGCTTGGGCAACTTGGGAGACCTCGTCTCTACAATAAATAAAAAAATTAGCTGGATGTGATAGCATGCGCCCGCAGTTCCAGCTACTTGGAAGGCTGAGGCAGAAGGATTGCTGGAGCCCAGCAGGTCAACACTGGGGTTGCCATGAGCATGCCACTGCCCTCCAGCTTGGGTGACTGAGTGAGACTCCGACTTAAAAAAAAAAAAAAAAAAAAAAAAAAGAAATGGAGTGATGATTTTCTCTACCTCACTAGATTACTGAGTTCACTGAATTTATAATACATTTGTGTAGAATGGTGCCTGATATGGGTTTGAGACCATCCTGGGAAACAGCGTGACATCTCTACCGAAAAAAAAAAAAAATTAACTAGACATGGTGGCACATGCATGTAGTCCTAGCTACTTGAGAGACTAAAGCAGAAGGATTGCCTGAGCCCAGAAGGTTGAGGCTGTAGTGAGTCATGATCATGCCACTGCACTCCAGCCTATGTGACAGAGTGAGACTGTGACTTAAAAGGGAAAATAAAGGGCCAAGTTCGGTGGCTCACGCCTGTAATTGTAGCAATTTGAGAAGCCAGTGAAAGGATTGCCTCAGCCCAGGAGTTTGAGACCAGTCTAGGCAACATAAGGAGACCTCATATCTACAATACATTAAAAAAAAATTTTGTTGAGCATGGTGGTGCACACCTGTAGTCCCAACTACTCAGGAGGCTGAGACAGAAGGATCGCCTGAGCCCAGGCTGTCACAGTAGCTGTGATCGTACCACTACACTCCAGCCTGGGTATCAAAATGAGGCTGCAACTAAAAAAAAAAAAAAAAAAGAATAGTGCCTGATACATGATAAGTGCTCCATAAATGATATCCACTATTATTAATAATAAAATATATTCAAAAATAGAAATTGAGAAATGAGTTTAGGCTGGATGTGGTCTTCTTATGCCTGTAATTCTAGTACTTTGGGAGGCCAAGGTGGGAGGATTGAAGCTAGGAGTTTGAGACCAGTCTGGGCAACATGACCGAAGCCTGTCTCTATAAAAAAAAAATTTTTTTAAAATTTTAGTCTGAGTCTCTATCACCCAGGCTGGAGTGCAGAGATGGGCGCACAGCCACGGCAGCCTTGACTGTGGGCTCAGGGGATTCTTCCGCCTCAGCCTTGCAAGTACCTAGGGCTATAGCATGCACCACCACACCTGGCTAATTGTTTTATTTGTTATATAGACAAGGTCTTGCCATGTTGCCCAGGCTAGTTTCAAACTAAATTCTCTCACCTCTGCCACCCAAAATGCTGGGATTACAGGTATGAGCCACTGCATCTGGCCCAAAATTTTTTTTAAATTAGCCAGGCATGATGATGTGCACTTGTAGTTCTAGCAGCTCAGTAGGTTGAGGTGGGAATATTGCTTGAGCCCAGGAGATAGAAGCTGCAGTGAGCTATGATTGTACAACTGCATTCAATACTAAGTGACAGTGAGAGACTGTCTTAGAAAACAAAAACAAGATATTAAAAATGACTATAAATCTAGCTGGTCACTGAGGTTCACACCTGTAATCCTAGTGCTTTGGGAAGTCAAGGTAATAAGAATCACTTCAGGCCAGGAGTTTGAGGCCAGCCTGGATATCAAAGTGAAGCCCCGTCTCTATGAAGCTTAAGAGATGGAATAAATCAAAGTTACAGGATTTTCTTCTCCAACCTCATTGGATGGGTCTGATCACTGCCTGCCTTGGTGACCATTGATCTGGGTAGTCGGGTATCGGCAGCTGTGGTCATTAAACATATTCTCAGCCAGGCATGGCAGCTCATGCCTGTCTTCCCAGCACTTTGGGATTCAGAGGCAAGAGGATTACTTGAGCCCAGCGGTTTGAAACCAGCCTGGGCAACTTAGTGAGTCCTTGTCTCTACGATAGGGCGTAGTGGTGTATCTGTAGTTACCATGTCTTGAAGATTGAGTTGGAAGGATCACCTGAGCCCAGGAGATAGAGGCTGCTGTGGCCCTGCCGCTGCGCTGCCCACACTGCATGACGACTGTTAGATGCTCAGCTATAGTCTTTCAAACTTATCAGAGAGGAGATGTTATTCATGTCAGAGAAGATCCATGTGATGGAACCTTTTGGATTAACTTCCTGCTCTTCAAGGTCCCCGTGTCCCTCGGGATGTGAAGGTGTGAAAACTGGGAGGGGTTTCCACAGGGAGGATGGCTGGGCTGATTCTTCACCTTGCTGGTGGGCACACGGGTGTCAGAGGCTGCTTTCGTTTTGCAGGAGCCACCTCACTCACTAAGTGGTTCTGAGTTAATTTCTCATTTATTTGGAATTAACTCTCTTTAAAATTTTAAAAAAATTTTAAATATATGGGGTATAATCCAGGGTTAGGTGTACAGATGTTCTTTATGCAAGTACCCTTGTTGATGGGGTATGTTTCCCTCCTTCCTCCCACCCCTGGCAGTTTCCCACTACTGCCAGCCACCACCCCTGCCCTCCCCGGCAGTTTCCCACTACTGCCAATCCCTCTCTTATAGTATTACTATAGTCGTTCAAGATCCGCTTATGAGTGAGAACATGTGAAACTAGGTTCTTTGCTTCTGTGATACATCCCTCAGTATTACAGCCTCTTAAGTCCATCCAAGTTGCTGCGAAGTTCGTAATTTTGTCCTTTTATGGCTGCCTAATATTACATCATGTAAATGTAACACATTTTTTTTTTAATCCAGTCCTCTATCGATGGGCAGCATGGTTGGTTTCATGTTTTGTGAATAGTGCTGCAATAAACATGCGTGTGGAGGTATTTTTTTCATAGAGTGATTTCAGTTCCTCTGGATAATTCCTAGTAGGGGGATTATTGGGTCGTATGGGAAGTCAATTTTTAGATCTTTTAGGAATTGTCACACTGTTTTCCACAGAGGCTATACTAGTTTGCACTCCTACCAACAGTGTAGAAGTGTTCCCTTTTTGCCACATCCTCTCCAGCATCTGTTGGTTTTTGAGTTGATGATGGCCATCCTGACTAGAGGTAGGTGGTATCTCAGTGTGATTTTAATTTGCATTTCTTTGATGACTAGTAAGACTGAGCAATTTTTCATGTATCTGTTGGCTGCTTGTATGTCTTCTTTTGAGAAGTGTTTATGCATATCTTTTGCCCACTTTGTAATGGGGCTGTTTGTTTTTTTCTTTTTGGCACATTTGAGTTCCTTGTAGATCCTAGATGTTAGGACTTTGTCAGATATACAGTTGGCAAATATATTTTCCCAGTCTGTGGGCTGTCTCTCCGCTCTTTCAATGGTTTCTTTGGCTTTGCAGAAGTTTTTCAGTTTGATGAGGTCCCACTTGTCTAACTTTATCTCTTATGGTATGCGCACTTGGGGGTTTCATCAGGAATTGGTTACCAGTTCCAGTTTCCATAAAGGTGTCTTTCGTGCTTTCTAAGATTCTTATAGTTTGAAGTTTAACATTTAGGTCTTTGACCCATTTAGAGTTGATTTTTGTGTATGGTGATAGGAAGGGTCCTGTTTCAATTTTCTGCCTGTGATCAACCAGTTTTCCCAGCACCATTTACTGAATAGGTTCTCCTCTCCCCATTAATTGATGCTGGAGGCTTTGTTGAAGATGAGTTGGTTGAGAAATTGAGGTTTTGTTTCTGGAATCTCTATCCATTTCCTTTGGTCTATATGCCTGTTCTTGTAACAATATCAGACTGTTTTGATTATTGTAACTTTATAATAAAGGATAGTCTGGAAGCGTGATACCTCCTGTTTTT